ATTGATATGAATGACAGAAGTTTGGGTTGGATAATGAAAGAAATGTGGCACAACCTGCCAGCAGCTCTTGGGATATCCAGAGCCTTCCCCATGTCCCCTGTCCCCGTGCTGCCCTTGCACCACTTCCAAGGCACATGGGGGTAAAAAACCCCACTCAGCACCCACCAGGACATCCGTGACCAAGGCAAGCAAAGGCTCAGGGGGTGAGCAGTGTGCCCGGGCAGTTTCCCTGGCTGTGGCTCAGGATGGGTCGGTCCCAGCCGTGACAATTCCCCTCCAGGGCAGGCGGGGAGGGCCGATCCCCGGCCGGCCCCGTTAACGAGGCTGTGGCGGAGCCTCGGGGCTCATGAAGGGCAGGGAAATGCCAGCACAGCCCCGGGCAGGCTGGCAGGGCGCCTGGGGAACGCTGAGTGCCAGCTGGCTGCCCATCCTGCCCGAGCTGAGGGGAGAGGTGGTGAAGCCACACGCAGGCTCACAGTGTGAGTGGAACGTGGACCACGTCCTTGTGCATGGGTCTTACCCCCCTCTGTACCCAGCCAGGGGTGTTCTTCCAGCTCCAAGGGAGGCAGGTCTCCAGAGACCGGTGGGGAAGCCACTTTGGTGCTGTTAATTCACTTCTCCTGTGAAAGACGTCCTTATCCCTGCCCTAAAGGTTCATCTGTGCTTGGGCTGAGTCCTCACGTGGGGTAGGGAAAAACAACAGCAATGAGGACTTGGAGGTGTGAGCTGTGCACACAGAAGTGAGCAGGACCTGCCCCGGGGGTTTCTAGCTCATGTCCAAGTGTATTTGGTGGAATCTTTGCTGAGGAATCTGCTCCCAGCCTCCCTGGGGTGTCCTGGTCCCTGTGCCTTGGGCCCTGGGGCAGCACAGCCTCTGAGCAGGGTTCAGTGCTGTGCTGGATTCTGCTCCCAAGGCTCTGCAGTGGGGTGTGGGCTTCACCTGGAGCAAGGCCAGCTACACCTTTCTCTCAGCTGCAGAAGAATTTGAATTTAGCATTAGTGTGTGGAGGGGGACTTGGCCCTTTTCCCTCCAGCCCTCCCGTGGCAGAGCTGGAGATGTTTCCCACCACCATCCCCACCTGTCCAGGAGCTTTCAGAGAGAGGACACAGCAGCAGGCAGGCACCATCCTCTTCCTACTCACTGGATTTGCCTTTTTCTGCCTTGCTGAGCTGTAGAATTGACATGGCTGAGACCTTCCTCACCCTGGGCTGCGTAAACCCATCAGCCTGAAAAGGGGATGATGGGCTACAGGTGGCTGGGAGGAGCAGGGGGAACATGCAGGCAAAGCAGTGAGCCAGCCCTCAGCATAATAATAAATAGCAGCAGCACACAGCACCTGCCTACCCATTATCAGCTGCTTTGTGGGCACCCCAGAGAGGAGCTGGAAGGAGAGGTTTGAAAGGGACACAGAGGCTCCAGGCTGCCTTAGAGTGTCTCCCACGTAGAGGGACGAGGCGAGAGAAAACATGAAAGCATTGGTAGGTTGAGTCACCAACCCTGGAGGGATTCAGGAGATGTGGAGATGTGGCACTTGGGGATGTGCTTTAGTGGTGGGCTTGGCAGGGCTGGGTTAAGAGCTGGACTTGGTGATCCTGAAGGCCTCTTCCAACCTAAATGATTCTGCTGAAGCCTCCCAGCAGATCTGAGGGCTCATGAGCATTTTCACCCCACAGTTTGCAAACAGGGGAAGTGAAGCAGCAAGGATTCAGGTGCCTGGGGGGACCAGGCAGCACCCAGGCGTCCTCTTTCCAGCTGGGCTTGGAGGTTTCCTCCATGCAGGATTTGCTCTGTATACTCTGGGGAGAGGGAGGAAGCTGGGGGAGATGGAGGAGATGCCTCTCCTCCCTAACAGAAAACAGGTTTCCAGTAACTGCAGTGGGTTTGCACCTTAATTATTTCCTTTGGCTCTGCTACTGGGAATGGTTGTGTCCTTAAAGTTGTTACAAGGGCAAAAGAGAGAGGAAAAGCAATCCTGACATCCTGTCCTCTGGGTCCAGATGTAGCTGGCAGAGTACAAATTAGCGGGTGGAGAATGGAATCGCTTAAAAAGAAATTTAATGAGATCGGTATGCAGGCATCTGGTTCCTATCAATCATCATTTTGTGTGATATGCAATGGTAAATATCATCTTTTAATGACTCTGATGGAGGAAAAAAAGCCCAAACCACACACACGCACACATAATGATCCAAAACCCTTCCAGAGCCCGAGAGGTTTGAACTCTCCAAATTTTCTGCAGATGGAAAAACCCCACCAGACACCTCTTCTAACTCACTATTGTTGGAGTATTTTATTTCTTTTTTTTCCCCCTCTTTTCCTCTGGTTATATTTAACCTTTGTGTTAAATTAATCTTCTCTGTTTATTAACAACTACCACTGAGTGAGCCTCCTTCCCTCTTCTCTGTGCTTTGACAGCTCAAATATTTGCTCCAGGCTGAAGTTCTTGCTGCAGGCGCCTGCTGCTCTCCAAGGAGAGGTGGCTGCAGGTCTCTGGTCATCCATAGGTTTGCTCCTGAAGTTGTTTTGGGCTCCTCTGTTTCAGTTCTCCACCAAAGAAATCCAGCAGACACAGGATTGAACACATGAGCTGAGGGTTTGCTGGTTTTACATCCCCTGGGAAAGCTGCTGGGCTCAGCTCCCTCAGGGGCATCAGCCTGCGGGTCTGCAAAGCAGGGACAGGTTGGAAATCAAGTATTTGGATGTTTCATTGGTCTGGTTTCATACAGGTTGGGGTATTTTGATGGTTGAACCAGGCTTTGCTCCCAGCAGAGCTGGCCAAAGTGGGGAGAGGTGGAGGTGATGGTCCCAGGGTCTCTTTTTGGCCCTACTCTTGTTGGGGACAAACTGTGAATCCTCATGGTGCAGAGCTCAGTCCCCCCTGGCTATTCCCTTTGTGGTTCAGACCAGGAATTTTTCTCAACTCGTTTCCCATGCCTTGGGAAGATGCTGCCCTTCAGCTGAGATTAAACACAGCTTTTCAGGGAGCTTCCCGTGGGTTTGGGGTGCAGAGGCTGAGGCATGCAGGGAGCAGCTGGAGCCTCCATTCCCTGCCTGGGGCAGCAGGTCCCACTCCCAGGGCCATCCCTGGCTCCCAGGGCCATCTCTGGCTCCCAGTGCCTGGGGGCAGCCTTTGAAAGGGGAAGATCCACCAAGGGATGGTCAAACCCACAGGATGAGCCCTGCTGGAGCTGGAGGGCTTTTCTGGGTGGCTGCAGCTGCAACACCTTGAATAGAGGTGGGGAGGGATGAGATGGGGACTGAAGGATGCTGAGTCCAGCTGGAAAAAATGGTTCCATTGAAACAGAGAGGAACATTTGCCCTTCTGTGGGGAAATGCACGGGACAGCAGAAGTCTGAGATGCTGGGATGATGTTATCTGTGAAGGCCCGGCCAGCTCCATCCCCCAGCACCTCTCTGACAGCTCTGGGCTGAAGGACTGAGCATCTCTGTGGCATCAGGAGCTGGAGACAGCCAGGCCTGGGAGTGATTTCTGCCGACAGGGACCAGATGTGTCAGGAGGAGCTGTGCTGTGGGGAGGAGGCTGCACGACAACAAGAGGAGTTTTGTCATGGGTCCCCTCTGGGTTTCAAAAGCAACACCTCATCTCCCCCTTCCACCTTCCTTCCTCCCCCACCCTTTCTGCCACACATTCTTCACACCTCCAAAACCTATTTTGGGCCATCTGATGAATCCCAGCTGCCTGGGGAAGCAGCAGGAGCCGTGGTGCACTCCAGGCACAGCTTCAGCCGCTTCCTTGGCAATGCCCCCAAGCTTTCACAAGCCAAGGGAGCGGGGGAAGGAAGGGAGGGAGGGGGAAAAGGAGGATAACAAACTGGTAAAGGAGCCTGGTACTCAATATTGTGATTATTCACTGAGTGGTGAGTGGGGAAGAGGATCCCACCTGGTTCTGGAGAGAAGGAGTGATGGTTGGAGAGAGAGGTGGGATGGGTTCAGGCTCCCGTGGTTTGGGATGGTGCTTGGGAACGGGGTTGGGGAGGGGAGCAGGGAGTCTGCCTGGAGCCAGGGATGATGGGGACAGCCTGGGAGCACTGTGCTGCCTCCTGAGCATCCTCCAGCAGCCCAGGAGCCAGGGAGAGCCCTGTAGGAGGGAGGGGGCTGGGTGACAGAGGGGAACCAGCACTGATGTGGTTCTCTCCTGCAGAAACTCAGTGGAAGGGGTGGTTTATGTGAGTCAGGTGTCAGCCCCAGCTGCAGTCCTGGCATGGGTGCTGTTGGCATTGGTGGCTCCAGCCCTGGTCCCTGTTACCTTGCGCCCTTCAATTCCCTGTCCCCTCCAGCCCTCTGCCTCCCTGGGGAGCTCAGCACATCAACTGTGACCACAACTTCATTTCTTTCAGCTGCATTTCATTGGGGTTGATTTAGTCCTGCAGAAAAGAGGGTCCCCAGCCCTCCCCACAGAGGGGCTGATGAGTTTTTGGGGTATCCTTGTGCTGGGAAAAATGTCCCAAATGAGCAGTGACATCAGCTCAGGCCTTAGGTCCTGCTGGACACTCTGGTGGGGCTGATCCATGAAAGGTGGACAAGGGGAGACTGTTCTGGGTGGCAATGCAGAAATAAAGCCCATGGGGGCAAGGAAGAGGGGCAAGGAGAGGCTGGATGGGATAAAGAGAGGTTTTCATGCTCATCTCCAGCTCTCTGAGGCAGGATGTGCTGTTCTGATATATGTGGGCACATATCCAGCATCTGGCACGCCTGGGTGGCATGTCTGGGCATCAAGAACTCAGTCTTGCTTCTGCTTTGAGGATGAATATCCAGCTGTGATGACCTTGTAGCAGATGGGGTTTGGGGAAAAGGCATCAACCTTCTTGTTTTCAGACAGCTGAATGCTGCAGCTCCTGGGGAATTTGATAGAAAAATCAGCCCTGGCTGTGTGAGACACAGGGGATGGATTCCACCACCTCCATCCCCTGTGCTTTGCTTTAACCCCTCAGCCTGCTCTCCCCCTGCTGATGGCATTTCATGTCTGCTCTTTCCGGAAGGTTTTTTGTGAACTTCCCCTCGGCCAAGCAGTACTTCAGCCAGTTCAAGCACATGGAGGACCCTCTGGAGATGGAGAGGAGCCTGCAGCTGCGCAAGCACGCCCGGAGGGTCATGGGGGCCATCAACACCGTGGTGGAGAACCTCAACGATGCTGAAAAGGTCTCCTCTGTGCTGGCCCTGGTGGGCAAGGCCCATGCCCTCAAGCACAAAGTGGAGCCCATCTACTTTAAGGTAAAGGATAGGTATGACGGTGTTCACAGGGGTCTGAGGTTGAGGGAAGAGACGAGGATCTGACTGCATGTTTCAGAAGGCTTGATTTATTATTTTATGATACATATTACATTAAAACTATACTAAAAGAATAGAAGAAATTATTTCATCAGAAGGCTAGTGTCTTGGTTTGGAAAGAGGTGTCTGCTAAGGAAGGCAGGAGCCTCCCCTGAAATGGAGAATATAAACCCTCCCCACCCCTCCCAATTGCTATAAATTTTAAATTAAGGGGCTATCAGGCAAAAAATATGGGAGCAGGAAATAACAGTTCTTTAATAGGGAAAGGAAAAAAATAAAAGGATAAAATAAACAATGCAGTACACTAGAACAACACTGCCAGAGTCAGAACCCAACCTGACACCCTGTGGGTCAGGGTGTTGGCAGCAGTCCCATTGGAATTGTGGCTCAGCCCTCCTGCAGTGTCAGGGGTGGTTCTGCTGGAGCAGGGATCCTGTAGAGAAGGATGTATTCTTCCTCTGAAGATCCAGTGGAAGAGGCAGCTGCTGCTCCTCTGGGGAATCCAGTGCAGAAGCTGTGCTGGTGTTCCAGAATCTCCAGATTATATCCAGGTAGGAATGCTTGGCTCCTCCCTCTGGGCTCACATCTCCCAATGGGATGCTGTAGTTCTTATCAGACATGCAGTGACAGTCAATAGCTGTTATCAGCAGATGTCCCCTCCCGAGGGAGGAGTGATTGTGGTCACTCAAAGAGAGAGATAAGGCAAACTGCCCACTTGACAAAGGTAATCTGCCATGCAGATGGTAATGGAAAACATCCTGCATTGCAATCTTCAACAGTTAGCCAAGAATAGAATAAGAAGGAATGAGAACAAAGGTTTGTGGCTTGGACTCTCTGTCCAAGCCAGCTGACTGTGATTGACCATTAATTAGAAACAACCACATGAGACCAATCACAGACCCACCTGTTGCATTCCACAGCAGCAGATAATCAATGTTTACATTTTGTTCCTGAGCTCTCTCAGATTCTCAGGAGGAAAAATCCTAAGGAAAGGATTTTTCATAAAACATGTCTGTGACAGATAGGAGCAAAATAACCTTGGGGCTGCTGCAGGAACGGGGCAGGGAGCAGGAGCTGTGTGAGCTGGTGCTGCCTGGCCTTGGCCGGGTGTGAGGGAGAGCCTCAGGAAGGCTGTGGAGACCACCCTGCCCACACAGAGCCAGTGCCAGAGCACCCAGTGCCCCCCCTGCCCAGGGAAGGCCACCTGGCTGTGCCCATGTTTGTGGCTGTGTCCCCCTTCTAGAAATTAGGCACGATAGCAGGGACTCAATTAGTTGGCTAATTAGCCCCCCTCCAGCTCTGCTTGGCTTCTTTCTGATGGGAATCATAACCCCAAGATCACAGGTTTGATCCCCATTTCACTCAAGAGCTGGGCTTGATGATGCTCATGGGTCCCTTCCAGCCTGGAATATTCTGTGATTCTGTGAATAATTTGGGGTGCCCAGACTGGGGAGATGCCTCAGCCTGCCAGCAGCTCTCTGCTCTGCTGCCTGTCCTGGCTGCTGCCAGGGCTGTCATAGACCTCCAGCACATCTGTGTCCTGCAGACAGCAGCAGGATTCAAGTGGTTTTGTAGGAAAAAGCCAAACTTGCTGTGAGCAGCTCCCTGGAGAGTTATTAACCCCTTCCTTGCTGTGTGCCTCCCCTCAGAAACTCACTGGTGTGATGCTGGAGGTGATTGCTGAGGAATACCCCAACGACTTCACCCCCGAGGCACACGGAGCCTGGACCAAGATGAAGACCCTCATCTGCACCCATGTGACAGCAGCCTACAAGGAGGCAGGCTGGGCTCAGTACCCCACTGCCACCCTGTGAGCGCCCAGGGGGCCACCAGAGGGGCAGGGAGGGCTTTGCTCACCCCAGGACTTCACTCTGGTCTCCTCTCAAGATCTTTGCTCGGTTTGGGGAGCCCAGCAGGGCCAGTTCTGTCAGCTGCCAAGTCACAATTTGATCTCCATGGGGTTTAAAAACAAACTAAACAAGCCAAAAAAAGCCACAGAACCATGAAGGGTGTGGGTGGGTCGGGGTGAAGCAGTTGCAGGGGACGCTGGAAGGGGATGCAGAGGGTGAGGGGAGAGCTTTTGTTGTTGGCTCCATCTTCCTGTCCTGGCCTGTCCATCACCACCTCCCAAATCCTGCACCTCACTTGCACCATCTCAAAGCCCCTTGCACAAGTGCTGATGCCCCATTCACTGATGAACAACACAACCCTCATTTTCCACGTGAGGCCCCTGGCTAAACCTGGAGCCCCTGACTGCACCGAGAACTTTGCTTTGCTTTGCACTTTGTGTGTCACCTGGCAGGGCTGACAGCCAGAGCCTCTCTGGGTGCTCCAGGTGGGCAGCAGAGCTCACCTGTGCAGTCACCCACAGTCCCTGTCCTGGGCTGGCTGCTGCAGCCCCTCTGGGCTGGGAGAGAAGCTGCCCCACAGCCCCAGAGAGGGGAAGGAGGGGGATCCCCTTTGGGGATCCCTCATGGCTCAGAGCATGGTGTGTGGGTGGGATCCCTGTGCCACAGGTGAGGAGCTGGTGAGTCCCCCCACAGCTCCCTGAGGAGGGGTTTGGATGGAGCATGGTGTGCCCTGGGAGCTGCTGTGTGTCGGTCTGTCTGTCCTCTCAGTGAGAACAGGGGTCAGGCTGTGATTAGGAGGAGGAAAGATGGCACAGACACATCAGGAGGGATTCTGGTTATGAGGAAAGGTCCCTTCTCTGTTAACATCCATAAATACCTTGTACATATTCCTGTCCTCATGGTGAGACTGGGCTCCTCCAAACAAAGTGCCTGGTAGAAATCAGCCCATGCAGGAGCTGAGTCCCTCCTGGGGACAGCAGTGCTCCTGCCTGTGCCTGACAGAGGCTTCTCCCACCCCCCAAACGTGGCTGCAGGCCTTGGAGCGCTCATCCCTCCTCCAACACCAACTCCTCCTGAACCTCTGGGTCAGTCTGCCTGGTTGTGCCTCAGTTTCCCCTGCAGATATGAAAAAAGGAGGAGGAGGAGCAGCCCCGTGTCCTTCTGCCCACATGTGGTTGGATTCGTAACATTTCTGGGAACTGAATGGCAAAGGATTGAGGATGAAATGCCAGATGTGCTGGGAAGCTTTGGAATCCTTGGCACCCAATATTTCCCTGAAGGCCTGTGCTATTTTTAGAGCTCAGGCATTAAGGGCAGTGTTATCTGTGGCAGTGGGAGGAGGGTTCCCTTCTGAGATTCCCTCTGGCCTGGCTCCACCGCTGTCCTGGAGAGCTGGCAGCTCCTGAGAGAGCCCAGCTCCTCTCCTGGTGCCAGCTGGACAGGCAGCCAGCCCAGAGCTCCACCTGGCATCCCCACAGCCACCCTGGGGCCATCCCTCACCGTGGGTCACTGCCCCAGGCTGACCTCCCTCCTCCAGAGCAGACAGACAGACAGAACCTCCTGCTTGGCTCACCTGTGCTTTCACCATCCCCAGGAACAGAACAGGTTTATTGTGTCTCAAAACAGCCCCAGGACTCCAACAATGTCACTGCAGCCACTCTGGCCTTGCAGTCCTTTCCTTCCTGCATCCCACAGTGACACTGATGGAGAGGAGCAACGGGGCCTGGGGCAATGGCGACTCCTGGGTGGCACCAACAGCTGGGCACAGCTGTCCTGGTCATGGCAGGGTCCAGGGGGTGTGAAAGGAAGGGACAGGCACAGGGTGACAAGTGATGCTGCTTTGCTCGTGGGGCTGTCAGAGCCAGCATGCCCAGAATCCAGCCCACAGCCTGCCCTGGTGGAGGTGCCCATGGCTGCAGCTCCAGCTCACTCTGGGCTGTTACAGAGGCCGCTCAGTCCTCAAACAGCTGCTGCTGCCTGGGTGGGGACGGATGGGAGAAGCCTGCTCAGCCATTGACTCCCCTCCAGTGCAGGGCTGGGAGGGATCCCTTGGATCAAGACTGTTAGGTGATGTCTGTGTGTGAGCACACCACGGCACTCACGAGTTCTGCTGGCTCCTGCCAAGGCCTGGAGGCCAGCAGCACACATTTCTGAGCAGTTCATGCACTCCCTGTGCTCTGCACATGCTGGGCCAGGGGTGTTTCTGTACAGGGATGTTTCATCTTTAGACAAAATTTTGCACATTGACCTTTGAGGTTAATAATCTCCAGGTGGGAATTTTATTTTTGCAGCGCAAACCCTTCCCCTCCCTTCCCACAACCAAAACTGGGCTCCCAGTCTGCAGAGAAGCCACTTTGGAGCATCTGGAAATTCTCCATGTTCATACCCAACCTACCCTTGTGCCTTGGCTTTTGGGGGGCAGCAGCAGGGAGGTCCCCCCACCTCCCCATTCAACAGTGCTTTGGTTTCTCCTTTCTTTTTTTACATCCCCAGAAAAGCTGACCCACGGCCTCCTGCACCACGTGTGCGTGTGCTGGGCTTGGGGCTTTTTCCAGGCACTTTTTCCTAAAGCAGATCCAGATGTGTGCAGCTGCTGTCCCTCGAGGAGCACCCCCGATCAGCCAAATCGCAGCCCACTCCAGTAGAGGCAAACAAAACCACGTTTATTTTTATTTTTATCAGCTTGCTAGGAAGTGACACGGAGCAGGAGGGCGGCGGGGCAGGGCTCGGGAGGGGAGGAGGAGATGGAGATGAAACGAACGCCCCCTCTCTGCTCTGCTGAAACCCAGCACCGTCCTCATCTGGGGAGAGATAAAGATCAACAGAGCGAGGGAAAAGCGCCATTCCAGAGTGACAGGGCTGATAAATGCCGTGTGGCAGAGCAGCAAGGGAGGGGGGGCATGTCCTGGCTCTGTGCATGGCTCTCTGGCACACACACACCCCCATGCACAGCCATTCCCTGTCACTGCCACCCACTGCTCCCCCAGTCCCACCACAGCTGATTGGGGACCCCTTGTCCCCTTTTGTTCAGGTCTTGCTCTCTGGGGCTTGGCCTTTCACTCCTGGCACGCTTAGGCCGAGCTGGGGGCACGCTTAGGCCGAGCTGAGGGCACGCTTAGGCCGAGCTAAGGGCATGCTTAGGCCGAGCTGAGGGCACGCTTAGGCCGAGCTGGGGGCACACTTAGGCCGAGCTTTGCTCTCCTTGGTGGGGACCAGCTCTCAAACTCCTTTCCCCAGGGCTCACAGGTGAGAAGCTGAGGCTCAGGGCGTCGCTGCCAGCACATGCTGGGCCCAGCTGGTCTCTGCCCTGCACCCCCAGACCCAGCCAGCCCCTGGCACTGCCAGCACCTTGGCATTATCATCAGGGCTGGGCCTGGAGCTGTGATCCAGGTGGGAAAGCCTCTGTGCCCCCTGCCAGAGGTGGGGAAATGCTGAGTGAGGGGGGATTTGGTGTCCCCCTTGAGCCCCTCGTCCTGGCTCTCTCTGGCAGCGCTGCTCCCATCAGCCAGCTCCTGTGCCCTCCCTGCAGCTCAGTGTTTGCTCAGAGGGACCTGAGCCCTGGGGAAATGGGGGCACTGGGCTGGGATGGGGCACAGACCCACCCACCCTGTCCCCCTCCATGGCCAACATTCGTGGCAGGTTTAGCTCTGCAGACATCCCCCAACACCACCAGAATCCTTATGGGCCTCGTGCCACCACCCTCATCTTCTCTTGGGGGTGACAAATCCCCAGGGCAGCCTGGGCTCTCCCAGGGGACCCTCTCACAACTCTGCCCCTTTGTCCCAGGAGAGAGGTCACAGTGTCCCCCCAGGGTCTGAGGGGATGCTCAGACACTTCAATGGGGACCAGATTTCACCTGGCTGGACTCTGGTGCCAGAACTCATGGGGAAGCTGCCCTGGGGAAGCTGCCCTGCTGTGGGGATCTGGGGCCAGCACCACCAATGCCAGGCACAGGGATCAGAGGGAAACCCACACGCTGACCTTGGACCAGCTGAGGGAAAGGGAGGGCCAAATCCACCCGCCTGGCCTGACCTCTGTGCCAGGCTGCCAGTTATTTTCCATAGCTGAAGTTGTCTCTCAGTGTTGGTGTGTCTGCCCCAGCCCCAGCGTGCCCCACAGCCATGAGTGTGGTCTGATGTAACCCTGTGTCTCTCCTGTTCCTGCTGCAGATCCTGTTCATGTTCGTGTTCCTCAGCGCTTCCGTGCTGGTTTTATACCTGCCTTCCGTGTTTATGGGTGTAACTTTGGTTTTTTTCTTTTTGTAGGTTTTTAGTATGTTTGTAACCGGACAAAATGGTGTTATTAAACTGAAACTTGTATCTTCAGTGGATAAATCAATGAAACCCCTCTCCAGCTCTGCTTGGTTTCTTTCTGATGGGAAGATGAGGGGTGTTGAGGGCTGCCCCGTTGTCGTGAGGGTTCCTGCTCACTCTGAGGGAGTTTTTGGGCAGGAAAGCAGCAGCAAAGGGAGTGAATGTGCCCAGCAAGGGTGGCAGAGGTGGCTGGAGGTATCTCAGCAGTGCACTCCTGTGGGGAGGTGTTGGAGCATTGAGGGGTAGGATGGTGGGGATGGTTGGAGACGAGACATCTCTGCAGCCAGGTCTGGAATTTGGGGTTTATTGCAAAGGGCCTGGGTGCAGGGCCCTGCTGGGAGCTGCCAGCCACAGCTCAGAGCAGGCCCGAGAGAAGAGAGGGGGAGAGAGGGTGAGAGGGTAAGAGAGTAAGAAAGCAAAGGCATAAGACAGTAAAAGGGGTAAGAGAATAAACGGGGTAAGAGAGCGAAGATCCCATTACAATACAATAAATCTTCTTCTGTGCTGAATATTCTCATTCTCACTAACCAATCTAGTACAACATACAAATCCTACAGCATTTACATACAGCCTATAAGAATCAATACATTACCATACTGTGTTACATTTTAAACCCTAAAAACTCCTCTTTGGGCCCCTTCTGCCAAGCTGTAGGGTGTGCTCTGACCCTTGGACCTGCCTGCAAGAGAGGGTGTTGTTCCATCAAAAGGGGATTACCTTCAGCACAGCCACACCATTGTTTTCCAGTTGTTCAGTAACTGAGGTATCTCAAAGCTTGCTTTCATTTCAATCTCACTTATAGTTTCCATATGCTCAAAATCTTTTGCCAGACAATCATATTTATAAGGCTTTCCTGTTTCATCTTCCCCAACAGGGAGGGAAGGGTTTGCCCCCCTCCAGGCTCTTCACTTGGCTTCCAGGTACAAACCAGCAGGGTCTCTCCTGGATCAGGAGCCATTCCTGTGCCTTTGGCAGCCCAGCCAGTCCAAAGTGCTCACTGATGGCCACAACGTGCAGCAGCCACGACCACCGAGGGCTGTGAGCCTGTTCCCAGCCTGTAAAAATAACAAACAGCTCCCTGAGCAGCAGCAGCAGCTCAGTTTTCCACGTCCCAGCCCCTGGTGGCTCCCCTGCCCCTCTCTGAGGCTGGGTCACGTTGCAGGGGATGGGTCCCAGAGGGGTTGGGTCACTTTGTGGTTTGCCCCCGTGGGTCTCTCCAGCTCCCTCGTTTGCAAAACAGCCCCTCTCAAGTTCAGCTGACACTGGCCAGCCTTCCCAAAGTTGCTGGCAGAGGATGGACAGACAGACAGACAGACAGACAGACAGACAGACTCGTGCTGTGGTCCCATAAACTCTGTTGCCGTGGGATCCAAGGCTTGGAAAACAAATTCCAGCAATCCTGTTTATTGTGCTCCTCTTTACCCTGAATCCCAGTCTTCCAGGGGTGGGAAAACCCATCCCACCAGGGTGGTAGAAAACAGCAGCACCTTGCCACAAACAATTTCAAGGGGAGCAATCCCAGTTTTGGACTGAGCCTGGGGGGACACTGTTCTGAGAGGGAGGAGGGCAGAGATTGGTGCCTTGGAGGCTGCTCAGGGTCTTGGGGAGCCTGGTGCCAACTTCTCCATTTGGGCTGAGGGCAACAATGCTGCTCTCCAGCCCCACATGCTGGAAAAAAAACAGCAGTTGAGTGGTGCAGTTTTGCATGGGCAGGCACTTGAGCTACTCTGGAGTCCCCAAGCCACAATTAGAAGTGTGGCCTTGCAAGAGGAACCTTTTTCTTTCCCTACAGCTCCACAAAACTAAACCCAGCCGTGGCCACAGAGAATGTGGGGAGGGGAATAAGTGCCTGGTTCAATCTGTCTTCTCCTGCTGTGTCTTTTCTTGTGGGGCAAAAAACCACTTGGTGCTGTTAATGTGATTAATAAGCCATCCTTGGAGTCTCTGCCACATCCTGTACATGCTTCCAGGCAGAAGTGAGCAGTCAGCAAAGCCTGCACACTGCTCTGCTCCAGATGGGAGCCATCAGCTGGGGAAGCACAAGCAGAAGGAGTCAGCTCTGCAGTGGGGAGGCTGCAGTGGGCACCCAGAGCTCCCAGACCTTTGCACACTGAGCTGAGAGTGGCCAGGCCCAGCAGTGGCCAGAGGGTGCTAAAATGGGGCTGTTTTTTCTAACAGCTTGTTGAAAAGGAGCAGGGAATTTCAGCATTACCTTGCAGGGAGAAAATATGTACACAGCCCTTCACTTCATACTAATATTTACCCCCAGATCCTGTCACGTCAGGGTGCCTGTGACGATCACACCCTGACCCAGAGCCTGT